CCTGGCCATTGTAGCCATCTGGGGAGGGAACCAGCAGATGGAAGATATCTATCTCTATCTCTCTCCCTCTCCCTCCCTGTAACTCTTTCAAATAAATCATATATACACATACACACACACACACACACACATAGAAGTTGTCTTAAGAAATATATTCAGCAAATAATAATTTTATTATGGCAAACATCATTACAGCAGTACACAAATAATGTAAGCCTGGGAGACCCAGGCATAGGATAGAATGTGGTCTTCTGAGGGTTGCAGACCGGAGTTCAAACCCTGCCTCTCCTATCAGCAAGACACTGAATGACCCTGGGAAAGTTGCTTAACCTTTATGAGTCCAGATTACTCATCCATGGAATGAAAATAACAATGCTACCTTCACCGGCTTTACACAGCATGAAATGAAATCAAGCATGAAGGTCCCCAGCAAAGTCTGGCTGTGTGAGTTGGTGTTCAGGTGGCAGGAACTATAATGCCCAATATCCACACACATCCCGGCCACGGGACTATTTCCATAAACGTGTCCATGTGTCCTGGCTGACCTTTCTTTCCCACAGGAAATGTGGACAGCTCCAAGGGAGCACTCGGGACTGCAGGGGGATCAGTGAGCCCTGGAGGTGAGGCAGGTTAGGGGCTCCAGGAAGGGCACCTCCCCAACCCTGATAAACAGTATGTTTCAACAGAGACATTATCCTCCTCCCTGCGAGCAGGGAGTGAGTGCCAGCCTAATAATTATTAACTCAGATTCTACATAAAAAGCCAAATGACCGAGGCAGAATGCAAGCCAATCCCAGTCTTATCAAGAATGCATCAACCTCTTTGATCTTGAGGTGAACCAGCTCACACACATCCAGCTGCAACCTGGGGTTTTTCCAGACACTAAAGTAGTTGCCTAACACCAGCCGTCTGAAGTTTCCAGTCCAAACTGGCCTTTAAAAAAAAAAAAACTCTCCCACCATCCCACACTTCATTAAAAAAAAAAAAAAAAAAAAGGCAGATCGGGGCTACCAATGCAAAGGAATACAGCTCCAGAAATTGTTTTTCTAAATAAATGAAAACAAGTAAAAAGATGAATGGTCCCATCTCGTGCAGACAGAGTAACAACCGAGGGAGAAGGCACCCTTCAGAGAGCAGGCAAAAAAAAAAGCCCAAGAGGTGGGAAAAGCCCAGGAAGGTAAAGGCAGCCAACACGGAGGGAGTGCAGAAGACTGGGGGTGTGTGTGTGAGGAGTGGATGGAAAACAAAGAAGGTGAAGCAGCATCTCACTTCATTGCCAGAAGCGGCTCCTGCCCACCCCCTCCCCATCATCTGCACTGCAACATGAATTAATCAGCATGTAAATCACTCCCTTTAGCTAGGGAAATTGAATTTGGCTGCCAATCCTGATGGAGGGCGAAGAGGCCTCCTCACAGAGAGATCACAGCTCTCAGGGAGAACGCCTTTTCTTGCCTTAAATCAAAGCCTGCACAAGCCCGTGGCAACAGCTGCAGCTGGAGCCACAGACTTTGTGAAAGGTGGCAGGCTGAGGACGGTAATTGTAATTAGCAGTTACATAACATGTTTGTTCTTCAAAGTGCTCTACAAGCATCAGCTAATTAATAGCCTACCAAGCCCCATGCAGATCCACTGGTTTTTCATGTAGTGACTAAGCCTCGTACCCCCCACTGAATCCAGACCAGCTGGAGCAAGAAAGCAAATGGCTGAGAGACCAGAAGTTATCCCCAGGCCTCTTATCAGTGGCTCCACAGGTCCCTCTGTGCCAGGACCGCTTCCCAAAATATGGACATCAGTGTTCCAGGAGGCAGCTGCCACGTTCCCTCCAACCAACTCCTGGAGGCGCTACTGGACACGCAGTGGTAAGCTGGAGCAACTCGGTTTCATCCAGTCCGGCATCAGCACTTTGCAATTTCCCCAATCGGTAAGACTGGGACCCTGAAGTCCTTGGTGTTAGCTCTGGGTTTACCCTCGCTGCTCTGTGCAAGTCGGGCAAGTCTATAAGAGGACCTAGCTGGGTATGTAGCTTCCCATCCCAATCTACCCTCTTGTGCTTCTGTGATTTGCAGACTCGGGCCTACATCGTCTTGGTGGAGGCCACTGAACCCAGCAATTGCAGGGCCGCAGAGCCAAGTTTTCCACCTACTCCAAGGATGTTTTCCCCAAAGGACTTCAGAGATCCATGTGAATTTGTCTGGAAAATATTATGTGTAAATATGCAGGTGCATTTCCTTCGGGGGGTCCTGGGGGAATCTGTTTCCCCTGCTGCCTGATAAATTCCAAAATGGCAGTGCCTACGGATGTGGCTCACACACAGAACATGCAAAAGAGATACCCAGGGCATGAGTGGATCTCATCAAATTCCTACCCCCAAAATTGTTATGAACCATTGCTCTGTGAATAATCTCCAGCAATCCACATGTTTTGCTTATTCTCAATATACTTTCAAATTGGCAAGACTCAAAACATTCTACCAGGGCCGGCGCTGTGGGTGTAGTAGGCTAAGCCTCCGCCTGCGGTGCTGGCATCCCACGTGGGTGCAGGTTCATGTCCCAGCTGCTCCACTTCCAGTCCAGCTTTCTGCTAATGGTCTGGGAAAGCAGCAGAAGATGGCCCAAGTGCTTGGGGCCCTGCACCTGAGTGGGAGACCTGGAGGAAGCTCCTGGCTCTGGATTGGCTCATCTCTGGCCATTGCAGCCATTTGGGGAGTGAACCAGAGGATGGACGATCTCTTTCTCTGTCTCTCCTTCTCTGTTTGTAACTCTGCCTCCAATAAATAAATAAAAATTAAAAAAAAAAATGTACAACGCTGCTGCTAGTTGAACCCGAGACAGGGACAAAGCAACTTGAGATTTCACTGTCTGGAGACGAAGCAAGTCAACATCCAGAACCATATTCCCAGTCCCATTCAAGACTGCACCCTGACCACCCATCACAACTGGTTCTTGGAGGCGGATGTTTGAAATGAAATGTGGAGAAGTGCACACTTCCGATTCATGAGGTCTTCTTTACACGAAGCTAACAAATTCAAGGAAAAGACTAACATGTGCATTGTGCGCCACACGTCCCAAAGTGCTCCCCACGGGCCATCTCACTCCCAACACTGTTTGAAGCCAGAACGACAGACTTTATTCCCCGCCCCCTCCTCTTTTGACAGATAATAAAACCGACGCTTTTAATGCCTGGCCTGATGACACAGTTAATATAAGTATAAAATTAACTGAAAACTGATCTCTGTACACAACAAGAATGGGAAAGGAAGAAGGAGGAGAAAGAAAGGCGGGAGTATGGGTGGGAGGGAGGGAGGTAGCAGGGGAAGACGCGTCACCATGTTTCCAAATCTGTATACATTAAATGCATGAAGTTGTATTTCTTAAACAAAATAAAAATAAAATAAATAATAAAAAATAGCACTGCTAGAATTTGAACTGAGCTTTCAAAACTGCTTTTCACCAGCAATTCCACTTGTGAGTAAGTAGCCAAAAGAAATAAAAGCAGGCTCTCAAAGGCATATTTGTAACTGGTGTTTATAGCAGCATGTTCACAACAGCCAAAGGACAGAGGGCAACGCAAGTGCCCAGTGACGGGTAACTAGATAAACAGAATGAGGTCTACACAGTGGAATATTAATTCATTAAAAGCAAGGAAATTCTTGCACATGCTACAGCATGGATGGACCTTGACGACATTACACCTGGTGAAAGGGGCCAGCGTTGCGCAGCACAAGGGTAAGCCTCAGGTTCCTGTATCAGAGCGCTGGTTCAAGTCCCAGCTGTTCCACTTCACTTCCAGCTCCCTGCTAATGTGCCTAGAAAGGCAATGGAGGATGGCCCAAGTGCTTGGGCTGCTGCCACCCATGTGGGAGACCCAGATGAAGTTCCTGGCTCTTGGCTTTGGTCTGGCCCAGCCCTGGCTAATGCAGGCGGTTAGGGGGAGTAAACCAGTTGATGGAAGATGAATATGTAATCTTTCTTTCTTTGTCACTTTGCCTTTCAAATTAATTAATTACATTTTATTAAGCTTAGTGAGATAAGACAGTCTCAAAAAGACAATTCCATAGGAATCTACCTATTTGAGATACCAAGAGTAGTCAAACTCCTAAGGGACAGAAGTAGACTGGTGGGTGTCAGAGGCTGTGCAGACTGGGGAATGGCACATTGCTGTTCAAAGGCTATGGAGGGGCTGGTGCTGTGGAGTAGTGGGTAAAGCCACTGCCTGCAGTGCTGGCATCCCATATGGGCACCAGTTTGAGTCCTGGCTGCTCCACTTCCAATCCAGCTCTCTGCTGTGGCCTGGGAAAGCAGTAGAAGATGGCCCAAGTCCTTGGACCCTTGCACCCACGTGGGAGACCTAGAAGTTCCTGGCTCCTGGCTTCAGAACAGCCCAGCTTAAGCCTTTGTAGCCATTTAGGGAGTAGATCAGTAGATGGTAGACTGACTGACTCTCTCTCTCTCTCTGCCTCTGCCTCTGCCTCTCTGTAATTCTGCCTTCCAAATAAATAAATAAATCTTTCAAAAAAAAAAAAAAAAGGCTATGGAGTTTCAACTTGGCAAGGTGAAAAGATTTGGAGATGGGTTCTACAACAACACAGAATTAAACACTTAAAAATGGCTAACAAGGTGAATTTTATGTTTGTTTTTTGACAGTTAATTAACATTCAAAAACCTCTTTCCATTAAACCACAATTTTTCTGAACAGCTGTCAATAGAGCTTATGGGAGATGGTGGGGAAGGGCGAAGGCAATCATAGCCAGCCAAGCAGAGGAGACAAGAACCACTGTGACAGAAGGTAAGTTTCAAAAGATGGACGCATGAAATGTTCATTCAACTTATTTCCCCAACCCACCCTCTAAGTCGTGAGGATTTAGCTGACAAATCTAAGGCAGGTGCCCCCACAGGCAAATGGCACAGCCAAACACAGTACCCGGATGGAGGCAGCAACCTAGTGGCCCATGCTGCATGCTCTCATTGACTGTTTTGTTCCCAGAAGAATGGAATCAGCACCTGTGCAGGTTAAAGTGCTCTCTCTCCAGACGCCTTTCGCTGTGCAAACAGAGGTGATCTTTCCTCCAGGGCTCTCAAAGCCCTCCTGGCACTCATAGTGAGCCACCGCGCCGGGGCTGGAGCTGGGGTTCCCGACCAAGATGGCAGCCGGCACTTGTGGAGGGCTGCCACAGTCGATCTCTGCGAAGGCAAGCAACAAGTCACTCGTGATGAGCTTGAACTTCCAACTCTGCAAGCTCTGTTTTACAGACAGACATTGAATCACGGCAGAGGCCACACACATGGGGAACAAGAAAATACTCACCCCAGCAAATAATCCCAAGTAGGGATATGAAATAAGGTTGCTCAGATGTACAGAAAACAAGTATGCCTAAAACTTAATGAAATTTCCAAATATGCACACATAGAGAACACAAATTATGAGATTATTTACATATAAAGAATTTTTTAGTCTATGAAATAACACATTAGGGTTCTTTTAAACATTAATATTTTTGGTCCCTTTTACTATATGTCTGTTGACTGTTAACTTCTGTGTAAATGACAATGAAATTGTAGCAACTGCTATTAACTGAATAGTAAATATATACAAAACCTCAACTTTTTAATATAAATTAATGGATAAAGTACTTTCTAAACACTCAATTTCTATATACCTTTTTAAAAATATTATATACTCTTTGGTCTTTGCTTCTGTTTTTTTTTTTTAAGTTTTTATTTAGTTTCATTTTATTTGGAAGGCAAAGAGACAGAAACAAAGAAAAAGATCTTGTATCCACTAGTTCACTCTCCAAATGCCTGCAACAGCCAGGGCTGGGCCAAGCTAAAGCCGGAACTCGGAACTCAGATCTCAAAGAATATCTACCATGTGGTTGGGAGGGACCCAAATACTTGAATCATCATCTGCTGCCTCCCACGGTGCACATTGGCAGGAAGATGGAATTGAAAGTGGAGCAGTGACTAGAATATGGGATGCAAGCATCCCAAGCAGTACTTAACCACTGTACCAAACATTTGCCCTTGCACATACCTTTGAAAGAAAGAAAAAAAAAAACATTGCATAAAGGAAGACAAAATCAGAATTATTTAATGCGCATTGTGGCACAGTGGCAAAGACACAGCTTGGCTCTGGGGCTAGCGCTGTGGCATAGTAGGCTATGCCTCCTCCTGCAGTGCCGGCATCCCATAAGAGTGCCAGTTCATGTCCCAGTTGCTCCTCTTCCAATCCAACTTACTCTGCTATGGCCTAGGAAAGCAGCAGAAGATGGCCCAAGTGCTTGGACCCCTGCACCCAGAAGAAGTTCCTGGCTCCTGGCTTCCAATCCGCCCAGCTTCGGATCGGCGCAGCTCCAGCCATTGCGGCCATCTGGGGAGTGAACCACTGGATAGAAGACCTTGCTCTCTGTCTCTCCCTCTCTCTGTAACTCTACCTCTCAAATAAATAAATAAAAATCTTAGGAAAAAAAAAAAAAAGAAGAAGACACAGCTTGGAATGCCTGCATCCCACATCACCGTGCCTGGTTCAAGTGTGGGTTCTTCTGATTGCAATCCAGCTTCCTGCTTTGGCATACTCTGGGGTCAGAATATAGTAGTAGTTCAAGTACTTGGGCCCCTGCCACCCAAATGCAAGACCTGGATAGAGTTCCCAGCTCCTGCTCCCAGCCCAGCCTAGCCCAGACCTGGTTGTTGTGGACATTTAGGGAATGAACCAGCAGACAGAAAATCAATCCATCTTTTGCTCCTCCTCTCCCTCTCCTACTCTCTCTTTCCCTCTCTCACTCTCTCTGCCTTTCAAATAAATAAGTGAAACTGTTTTCAAAATTAAAATTATAAAAATGATTTGAAATTTCTTTTCTGTATAACCCTAGCTACTAGAAGGCAGTGGGATATTTACAAAGAAGTACATCTAAAGGAGAAAGGTGATAATATTACCACTGTGGACCCACTAAATTGTACTTCACATAAGAACACGAGAAAGTCATCTTCAAATATTTCAGTATTTTTTAAAAAATCTGTATGTGTGTATTTCCTAAAAATAAATTCAAAACAACCATGATTGAAAAAAAATGCATATCCTAAGGAAGAGGGAGAACCCAGGCTGGCTTTGAAGAAACACGAACGGCAGTGAAACGTGCAGATAAGTCTCCATCATCACTTGAATGTGAGTGGGAAGCTCAAGCTACAGTAAAAGATTCTAGAACTCGGGGCTGAAAATGCAAAACAAAAACTCTCTCTCTCTCTCTCTCTCTCTCTCTCTCTCTCTCTCTCTCTGCCTCTCCTTCTCTCTGTGTAACTCTGACTTCCAAATAAATAAATAAATCTTGAAAAAGAAAAATAGGTGGCTTTGCTCAAAGGAGCCTCTGACACAGAATTAAAGGTCTTAGTGGAACTACACTGGTTTCCATCCCTTCATGGATGCTGGCTGTGTTGCAGGATATCAGGTATCTCCCCGAGAGAGGCTTCCCAGAGCAAGCTCTCAACTGTTGTCATTGTCGTTATCACAAAGCCCTTAACACAACAGCCCAACCCACCCAACTGGTCATTTGGTCACGAGATTCAAGAAAAAAGTTGGCCTTTCGGTCCAACTCAAAGTCCTGAGCAGACAGGGGACCAGAACAAGCAGTCACTTCATCATCTCCCTCTGTCTACCCTGCATGTCTCATGTTTGCGCACAGGGTTTTGCTCCACTTTTGTACTTGTTTACCAGACACAAGACCCTTGGCTCTCATGATTTTCCAACATTGAACCTTTAGATATATTTACCGGCCAGAAATATTGCAAGATATGAGTACATCTGAGTGTACACAAGCAGCCAACCAAACAGGTAGTTAATGTTTCCTAAGACTGCCCAGTCATTGTTGACAGCTAAAACATCTTCCAGTTTAAACCAGAAGTCATTCTGTTGCAGCAGGACGAAGCGGGAACATCAGTGAAGAGGTTGAGATTATAGGTTTATGTGGGCTTAACTATCCGGAAGAGCTCCATGGAGAGGTTAGGCAGGGAACAAAGTGACAGGTAGTTAGGTTAGGGGAGAATCCCTAAAGAAATGAGAAGACAGAAGAAACCTAGACAGGTCTTAGAGAGAGAGAGAATGGCAGGAAGCAGGCATTTAGCTGGTGGTTAAGATGTCCACATCTGATACCGGAGTAGCTGGGTCCAATTCCCAGTTCTGGCTCTTGACCCCAGCTTCCCACAGATGCAGGCCCTGGGAGGCATTTGGGGACTAAACCAGTAGATAGGGGAGTGCTTTCTCTCTCTTTTTCTCTCTGCCTTTCTATCTACATATTATCTATCTATCTATCTATCTATCTATCAGACCTCTTTGACTGTTGGATCAAACGGGAGAATCAGAGAAGAACAGGAACAAAAGGGAAAAGTCAGGCAGGGTCAGTGGGAGGTGGACGGACTTCAGAGGTGATGGCGAAGATGGGAAGAAGGTAGACTGGAGATGCATTCTGGAAACAGCACTGAACATTCTTAGTGATAGGTCAGATGCGAAGGTGACAGGCAGGAGGAAGTAAGAATAACTATTATCTATGCTTATATGAGTATTATCAATACTCTTCATTTGACTTTTATTTCCTGCTTTGAAGATTTAGTAACTTCTAATGAAAATATTATGTCTTCCAAATACAGGATAGTTTCTAAAAATCAGAATCTTTTTTATGTCATTCTTGTACCTCCACAAACCTACCTAAAATCACTGGTTTTACATAACTACCTAATAAATAGTTGTTCAATGATTTCTTTTTTAAAAAATATCTATTTATTTATTCAAAAGGCAGAGCTACAGAGAGGAAGAAGTAGAGAAAGAGAGAGAAGTCTTCCATCCACTGGTTCACTCCCCAGATGGCTGCAATGGCTGGAGCTGCACCAATCCAAAGCCAGGAGCCAGGAGCTCTTCCAGGTCTCCTACACAGGTGCAGGGGTTCAAGGACCTGGGCCATCCTCCACTGCTTTCCCAGGCCATAGCAGAGAGCTGGATCAGAAGTGGAGCAGCCAGGACTCAAACTAGCGCCCATATGGGATTCTGGCACTGCAGGCAGCAGCTTTACCCACTACTACATGCCGCTGGCCCCAATCACTGATTTCTTACAACTATATCATTGTTCAGGATGCAATAAATGCTACTTTGATATGATAATTAAGTAGCATTTACTTTCCAGAGAGAGGCAACAGACATCAGTCAATCTTAAGTACAAACAATGAGACAGACAAGACTTCCATATTAGTACCCAAAAGAGGTAACAAACACCTACCTAACCCCAAACAGATAACAGTAGAGAAAAAACTCCACAACTAGTATCAGCCTCGTATGGAAAATTCTAGAAAACTGTTCAGGCCTCAAGAATTTCAGCAACAACAGCACTCACTGAAATCCTACTACACACAGGTAGTTTACCAGACCTGTAATCTCTTATTAATTCCCCACAGGGCACCACACAAAATATGTGGGTTTTTTTCCCATGTCATCACACGTATAAAAATGAAGGCCTTAGTGCTCATGTCACACCCAAAGGTCACACTACTAGTAAAAGATAGGGCCAAGAGGGGGATGCATTTAGCATGGCCGGTAGGGCACGGCTTGAGACACTGGCATTCCATATCAGAAAGTACCTGGGTTCAACTCCTGGGTCCACTTCCTGTCAAAGCACATCCCAAGAAGTAGCAGATGATGGCTCAAGTACTTGGGTCCTTGCCACCCAATGTGGGAGACCTGGACTGAGCTGTAGGCGCCTGGCTTCAACGGGGCTCAGACCTGGCTGTTGCAGGCATTTGGAGAGTAAACCAGTGAAGAAAAGATCCCTATGTCTGTTTATGTCTCCCTCTCTCTCTCTCTCTCTCTCTGCCTTTCAAATAAAATGAAAATTAATTTTTAAAAAAGACAGAGCAAATAATCAGACTGTGGTTGTTGGGATTCCAGAGTCCAGGTCCGTTAAATCTGGGCGGCCTCACAGCAAAGGGGTCACATCAGGCCCTGCGTAGGACTGACCTGATGGATCAGCTAACACCTCAGGAGAAGACTGCACGAAGGAGCATTCAAACCAGTCTGGACGGTTCTAGGACAACTCCCCCTGCCCCATTTTGTCTCCAAGAACTTTCTAGAACACAAGAACTGCTGGCAACAGACTCCCTTCTGGAGCTGTGTGGTCGCCCCTCTGAATCCTTCTTGGTATCGA